TCCAGGAAGTTTACGTTTATAATATATTAGTCATCTGTTTAAAGTTTAAAGTTGCATCATGCTAAGCTGGATGTGAAACTTGCAAATACATTTTGTGCAGTTTCAAAATAGAAACCGAGAACTACAGAATTTTAAAAAGTAATTCTTCTCTGCATTAACAGGAAAATTTGAAGTTTGACTCAACCTTTTTTTGATAATGTATTCGCTGTAATGAACAAATCATCAATAAAGTGATATCTATCAATTCCCAAAACAAATAAACATATACATGTTGTTGCAAGAGGACACTAGACCACAAAGGGAGTTCTGCAATATCCACCAGTTAATAAAAGCGTGTTCATTAAAAATGGTTTACTGTAATGTGATAACAAAGCAAGGTTGTCTGATGTCACCCACGGAGAAGTATTGTAATATATATAACACCCTTGAGAAGGACAAGAGACAAAAATAAACCTGTGAATAATTATCTCAGTTCCCTTTCAGTTGGGCTATATAAATTAAAGAAGAGACGGAAAAACATATCAATTGTGCATTGTTGATTTGCAAAAATGTAATTTTTCAAGTAAAATTGATATTTTTATACTTATCCTGACTCATGATCTTTTGCTTATCTCCCTTTCCCTTGCGAACGGTAGTGGAACACTTGAATCCCTTGAAGTTCCCGAAGCAGATGTAAAAATACACTCAGCCACGAATTACCTCCTTTTTGCCCTTTCCCATGCAAACAGTCATATGACCAGCCTTACTTGTCACTCTCTCCTGATTTTTTCTGCCCATGCACTTGGACCTACTGTGAAATCCGAAGTGTTTCCAGCGGGGAGGTTGGGAGGGCTTCTCCTCATGAGTCCTCATTTTACTTAAAAAATTACATATTTTTCCTTATCCTGACTCGTGATCTTTTGCTTATAGAATCCTTCGGATTGGTGGTGGGTCAAGCCACTTCCTGGATTCAACAGCTGTCCATAGATACGTCCTGTATCCCCCCCAATGGGAACTGCGTAACGGCATTTCCTAGATCCTATTCTTCCAACTTCCGTTGTAACTCGGGGGGACCACCATCTTGTCTTACTTCTCTCTCAGACAAGTGAATCTTGTAGATTCATGTGGCTTAAGTTATACTAGTATCTTCTTTTTACTAGTTATCTATAACAACCCATAGATTATGATAAGATCTTTATCATAAATGAGTTGCGACCCCTTTACGTACAGGTAAGATCTTTACCTGTACAGTCTTAATCACTCATGCTAGCCTAGTCTAGACTGTGCGCATGGACTTTCAAACTAGAACTTTTTCCATAGTAAAAGTTATCAACAAGTCAACGTGATAAAGGGTGAGATTTCAACTTTGAGGAACCGTTAGTTGTTGTGCTACAACAAGAGGCCCAAACTGGTGAATGCCTGAGACGTCTTCGGTGGCTATGTCTCGGAGGTAGTGGTTGGCAAACACTATCTGACTTCCAGAAGCAGCCCTCCATAATCGATGATATAGAGCAATTTCCATGCAGAGCTAGTGTTGACGCCAGTGCTCTGACTTCCTGTGGGTTGGTAGCTCTTGGAGGTTCTAATTCTGCTGCTTTGTAGGCTCTCATCCAAAACGATATTGTCGTTCTTGAGACCTCCAATGATGTCTCCGTCGACAAGGGGACGAATAAGCGCTTTGAATTTTCTTCTCCTTGTTTTAGTCTTTTGAAAATATATCTTCAAGGCGCTGACAGGACACAAGGATAAGTCTTGGGTGTCCTCTGGTCCGAGGATCGTAGATAGCGCTGGCACATGGAATTGTCTACCTGGTTGACCAGGTAGTTGATTCTTTGCAATAAAGTCCCATCTAAGTCCTAGATGTACTGCAGGGTGGTGCCCCATGTCGAATCTAGTTCGTTGAAAGTCCAGCACATGTTTCTCAGATATACGAGCTGCCGTGGCTAGGGCAAGCAGGAACAGAGTTTTCTGCGTGAGTAGCTCAAAGGTAGTCTGTTTTAGAGGTTCGTAGGCATCGCTCATGAGATGACGTAGAATTACATTCAGATCCAAGGCTGGTGCTCTGAATTTCTTTTGCTGGTCCTCCAATTTAAAAGATCGCAGCAGAGCTAGTAATTCTGGTACTTTCGTCAATTTGATGCCTGACTTCATTGTGATGACTGTACTAATGGCTGCCAGATATGTGGATGATGTGGAAACTTTCAGATGTCTTGTATATCTAAGGTGACATACATATTCCGCCACTCGAGGATGAGACGCTTTCATAGCTGTGAAGCCCTTCCGCCTTGCATATTGCTTAAATTTCTGCCATTTGTCGTCATACAAATTGCGAGTAGATTTGCGTAACGCTAGGGTTACTGCTTTCGCTGCTCTGGTGGAGTATCCTCTTTTCTTCAGACATGTTTTGATACGGTCCACACGTGTAGCTGGAACAATGTTGGGTTCCTGTGGACTTGCTTGGTGTGCGAATGTCTGAGTAGGTTCGGCCAATTCTGGTAGTTTGAGGGTTGAACTTCCGAGATCTTCTATTAGGTCTAGGAACCAGACTTTCGCTGGCCAAAAGGGTGTGACCAAAGTCAGTTGTAGAGCTTGTGTCTGTTTGATCTTCAACAGTACATTCGGTAGTAAGATCGGAGGTGGAAACGTGTAAGCGTTTAGTCCTTCCCATGATATGCCCAGTGCATCTGTTGCCCAGGCTTGGGGGGTCTGGTACTGGTGAAACAAACGTCTGTAGTTGTTTGTTGAACCTCTTGGCGAACAGGTCTATGCATGGGGATCCTATTTCCCTTATGATGAGCCGGAACGCTTCTGGATGGAGCATCCATTCCGTGGGTGACGGGTGAAGTGGTCGGGAAAGAACGTCTGCTAGTACGTTCTTGGCTCCCGGTATGTGACACGCTTTTATCCAGATGTTTGCCTTCTCTGTGATGTTGAACAACTGGAATGTGAGCTGCAATAGGCTTGGAGATCTTGTTGATCCTTGCAGATTTATTGAGAATGCCACTGTAGAGTTGTCAGTGTGGATCTTCAGCATTCTGTTGCTCAGCGAACTCGACCATAGTTGTACGGCGTTGATCACAGCTTTCATTTCTAGCAGATTGATGTGAAGATGCTGTTCTGCATTTGACCACTTCCCTGATGCAACCTGGTTGTTGAGATGTGCACCCCATCCCTGTAGCAATGCATCTGCGTAGAGATGTGTGTCGAAGACCGGCTCTTGTAATGTAAATAGGTCCCTGCGCAGACATTCGACCTGTGAGTCCACCAAAGTAGGTACACTTTGAGATGATCTGGTAGGGAGATAGGGTCGCTGCTGTCCAGATGTTTTGCCAGGAATCGTTGCAATGGCGCTAGTTGTAACCTTCCTGTGCGAGTCAAGTCTTGTGCTGATGTTAGTAGACCGAGTAGACATTGCCATGTTCGTAGTGTTAACGGAGATATGACTGCTTGAGGAATCATGGCTTGTACCTTGACCCAACAATCTTCTGGGGTCACAATTCCATTCTGTGTTGTGATAAACCTTATCCCCAGGAATTGCAGATCTTGTTTTGGTTCCAACTCGGACTTCATCAGGTTCACTAGCCATCCCAGTTGCGTGAGCAACTTGATTGTGAAGTTCAGCTGAGTTGATCTGCTTGTTGATGCGTCTAGATTGCATTGTCTAGGCAGAATGCACTGCAAAGTCTCCGCTGATGCATCAGTGGGCTTCGTTACGCATGTAAATAGTCCTGGGGCCGAGGAATTTCTTTCTTCTTGTGCGCTTCTCATCCTCGGAGATGGGCATCAGTGATGACAATAACCTTGTCCAGAATGGCAATTTGCAGTGATGATACATCATTCTTCCCCTTATATACGCAGATGATCTGTGTTGATCAGCATACATCGAAGCGTTGCCTATTTGTAGCAAGACTGGTTCCAGTGTTGTATTGAAGGAGACAGGTACACATACCGGCTTTTATCAGCGAAAAATTCCAAGATAAACATCTTTTATCCTGCTGTCAAGGCTAGACATCTATTAGATTCCCATGATGATAACGGGCCGTAGTTGTATGCTGTTTTCAAGGCTGCAGATGAAGTATTCCCCTGTTTACAAGTCAGTAAACTTGCTGGCGCCTGTTCTGTCAGTAAGGGGCAGTCTGTCCTGGACCAATCAGCTTCAAGCATGACGTCACCGGTGTTGTAGCAAGTTGGCCTCCATAAAATCTTGTGCAATAGTTGGTTGAGTAAAAGCGCGCGTAATTCTACGTCGCTCATATAAACCTCTTTAATAAGGGTTGCTCCAAGTGTAAATTATTGTTCAGTGATATTAATCACGTATTCCCAATGAGGATAATATAAGCCAGCATGACGAAGGAGGCTGTCGAGATGTATGTCTGTATGGATCTTAAAGAATACAGATGTTGAATCTAGTTGATAGGATATAGATTCCTAATCCCCACGCTGAGTGACGAGTGTTAATAATATCATCTGTACGTCCGTCCAAGGATTCTTGAAGGCGTTAACCTTGAGATATCGGCTTCATATGTGATATCATATTGGAGTCGAAGTCATCAGCATATATGAAGTACGTCTCTGTTGGGTTGGAGTGAGTGAGTGAATGACAATATCAGCAGGTCATCTGCTACCCAGGATAAGACCTCCGCATCCGTGTAGATGAAGGGATTCCCCTCACCAAGTAGGTTGTTGTCCGAAACTGAACCTACTACAGGTGTAAGGTTCGTGCAGGTTGTAGAGTTGTGCAGGCTGTAAGCTGTAGAGATCGCACATGTTGTTGATCTTTTATTGTTCAGTTATAAGCGCTGACAAAACATCAGTTTTCATTCTGACTGCGGATTCTTGAATTTTTTAATCATTGCTTCGTTTTTATTCAGTCGTATGGTAATACAGTCGACGTCATCATCCTGCCTGTTGATCTAAGGGTACGCGAACCCTATAAATGTCCGAACCTTGTAGATGTCTCCGTTGCTGATATCTGCTTGTTGATGTGTTCGCGAACCTTGTAGGTGCCTACATTGCTAATATCGCTTGTTGATCTGAGGGTTCACAAACCCTGTAGATGTCTGCGTTGCCTCTTCTTGAAACTTCCTTTCGCGAACCTTCCCTTCACGAACCTTGCCTTCTCGCGAACCTTGCCTTCACGTGAGAGCTGTGGGATCTAGATCTGGAACGGCTGGCTCTTGGGGATGGATTCCTAGGTGTTCTTGAACGTTGAGGGTAATTACACAGACAGGCAGGTGTGATACTTGTACACATGACATGTTATGATGTCTGTTGATTGCAAAATGTTATAGACAAAAAGGAGCATGTATTTACAAAACACAACATCTCTATACACACACAAAGAGCCCTGAGTGTATCAGCAACTGAATCAGCCAATGAAAGTCTTTGTTACACCCACCCGCTCTGACTGGGTTCGGTATCCCGGGGGCTTCATTTCGATGGAAGCAAACCCAAGTACAAAATATTGCACTTTTGATTTGCGATTGTACGCTTATAATTTTGTTATATTTGTTTTTTTCATAATCAGCAATGTATATTACATGTCATGAAGAAATGATAATTGTGTTTTAATTATAATTGTTTTGTTGGTTGCATATAAGTGTTATGTTAGTTATCTTAAGTCATCTGACCACTGAAACACACCTCTTACGAACTGAAGTCACAGCACAGGTTCCAAGTTCTCATTTCATTTGCCCTCAATTTCTTTTAAACAAAAAAATAATTAAATTCTGGAATGAGGAGTTCTTTCAATGTGGTTCACAGAAGGAGGTTAGCAGTAGATCGTCCTAAGGTCCTGCACTCTGGCTGTCATCCCCTAGGAAATACCAGCTGCATCGAGCTCTGTATTTCCTTGCACAATAACAACGCAAACAGATTTTATCTCCCTTTTACTACAGCCACAAGTTACCAGCACACTATTTGAGACTGTTGATGTCCTGTCCCTTGCAAGCTGAGGACTGTAGTGAACGAACAGCATTGTACAATCAAGAGGCATGCATCAGTTCTGTATTATATGATTAAAGAGAACAATGAACTTGCTGTATATTGTGTTAGGATTTAGCCCCATAATTTTGTTTGTGAATACATTCCACCTACTTACTTCTCCTCGAGCAGTCGGGCAAACTTTTTCCTGGCCAGCTCCATGAGACAGTCTACTTCCTCCTTGGACCGTTTGAAGTTCTCAATGCTGAAGGCATACACTGTCACTTCACAGATGCCCAGGTCTAAACACCAATCCAGCGTCTGCAAGAAACAGTCATGACGCGTTCAGACAGTGACAATCAAGTCTGCACCATTAACCACTTTGTTAAAACATAATTGAGTAAGTTTTTGGTATGGTTGTACGTTTCAGGAAAATCTGTTTGAAACTTCCGGTAATCATTTCAAGCATCCTACCTCAGCAAGTTTGTCAAATCCCTTCAAATGTCCCTCAGCCTTCTCCATGCTGTTCTTGACAGCAAAACGCCGGTTACCATCCATAATAATACCGATGTGTTTGGGTACTGGACCTGCCTTTAACACAGATGCACACACTCTCTGCAACCATGACCGGTTCCTCTGCTCAGGGAACCACGACATCTGTTTAACATGGTACAAACATGTAAGTGTTTGCTTTCCACACATATTAAAGTATACATAAACATGACAACCAAGTCCTCACTTTATGCAAAATGATCTTTCTATTCATGAAAAGCTTAAATGAACCATGTGAACTGAGGCTAAGTAACTGTGCTTTTCTATAATTTTCTATAAAATATTTCTATCAGCATCATTTTTATGGGTTTTATAAAGATATAGAATGTTGGCTAAGTATGGTGGTGATATTCAACCAGCATATTGAATAAGTACAGATTGCACGACAAACAAACTGATTGCATTATCTAACACATTATGAGCAGAGAACACATATATTTATAACATATATTTATAACAATCAACATAATAACATTTGCAACATATAAAACCAACAAAATATATTGAGGACCATTCCCAGCGTCAGATGGACTGACAGAAGCAAAGGCATTTTGTACATGTAGTTTTTAATGATAAAGGAGAGTTGAAGAATACCACTCACACCCTTTACTGAAGCATATTGTAATGCTAAAACACAAATCTACATACAAATATTCACAAAAGTAACAATTTCCTCCTTGAATGAAACAACCATTACACACTGCTTATCAGTGACCATACACACCTTCCTTTATGTTTATCAACAGTAGAAAATACTAATCAGTGACCATACACACCTTCCTTTATGTTTATCAACAGTAGAAAATACTAATCAGTGACCATACACACCTGCCTTTATGTTTATCAACAGTAGAAAATATTAATCAGTGACCATACACACCTTCCTTTATGTTTATCAACAGTAGAAAATACTAATCCTTCCTTTATGTTTATCAACAGTAGAAATACTAATCAGTGACCATACACACCTGCCTTTATGTTTATCAACAGTAGAAAATATTAATCAGTGACCATACACACCTACCTTTATGTTTGTCAACAGTAGAAAATACTAATCAAACATGTATGTACCATTCCGGGTGATTATACAAATAAACTTTATCAGTTTCCACACCCTGGATATCAAAAGAATAAATTTATCAAGTTTGCACTCTTCGCCTACAAATCGTATTAATAACTTTTTAAAAGTATCCATCCGAAACAAACAATAACATTTCTTTTCAGGTATTGCAACATGACAATCTGCAAACAGTTGAGTACAGATAAACTGTATGAACAGATTATTAAATAATATATATCACTCATTCTCAATAAAAGGGCGCATTTGTGTCGCCATGCTCTGTTTTCCTGGCTTTCCTTTTTAGTTGATTCTTTTGCATTTTGCAACATGTCACCGCCCCTACTAAAGATTTAAACAGCATGTGCCTGCCACATGTTGGGTATAAATGAAATATATCCAATTGATTGTCAGTTTTGAAACGTATGTTACTGTCGCCGCAACTGGTATACACACCTTAAACAACAATCAGTATGTAATTTTCATTACTGATAACCTGGTAAACAGACCGTAGTAGTATTTTGCAATGATACTACTGTTTTGAGATAGTCATGAGAATGAGGTATGAAAAGAAGTCTGACGGATCCCCAAAGTTCGCATGTTTCTACTGTGTCCCTGTTTGAACAAGGCCTGTCAAATGCGTATGGTTAAGGATACCAGGAAAAAAACCCCAAAAACATCCAACCAAAAATAATCTTTTTTCGACTTTTGATATGGTCAAATGCACCCATTTATTGAGAATGAGTGATATATATACTTAAGCAATATAGTTTCATATTTTTGCCAAAGGACATCATTGTCTCTGACATAAAAGGAGCCAATGGAACTTTGTTATTGAAGCTGATTGGGGGTACTGCTGTAATTGGGGATTTCTCTATAAAAAAATTAACCAGAGTCAGAGACTATTGATCTAATTAAGTTTAAGTATGGAATCAGCTGTTAACACTGACCTACATTTACACGTCTTTGAGAGGTCTTTCGTTGAATTAACTAAGCCGGTCGATTTTTAGCTGTTTATTATGAATGTTAGAACTGAGATTTGTCGCCTGCATAAGGAAACGAAGTTGGGTTGTATTTCGCGGATATCGGAATACAATATCCTCATATGACATATAATGTGTCACATGTAGCCAGATTCAGAAACCTCCTGTCGCAGGTCATCAGTATGATGCAACGCCACAAAATAGGCGATAAATACGAAATGACAGTCTGCTCCGGGTAATATTATGATAATTACAAAAGCACAAGTTGTGTTTGAAGACTTACGTTCTCACCCTAAAATTGTCAACAACGTGTCCCTCCCAGAATGATCACTCCCAGTTCACGTTTCACACTCGACTGAGGGCAACCCCGGCTTGTGACGTCAGCGCACTTGCTTGAGCAAGAGGTTTGCCTCCGCGAAAGAAAGTAGTTTTGCATGAATTCGATAAATTGTATATGTTGCTTGTTAACTGCTCATGTAATTCATCTTGATAAGTATTATGTACGCACAATATTTCCTTATAAGTGGCCGTAACGCGATCTTGATCAATGCTGCCAACTCGTGAATCTGGAATGACTACGCCAAAATAGTCCGCCTGACAAATGCCTTATACACGTATGGACAAAAATAGCTCAAAATGGCGACTGAGGCTAATCGCTAATTACGTCTTGAATTCTTGAAAATTGAGTTCAGTGAGAATGTGAAAAGGCTAAAATGCCTACACCAGAATCAACAGTCGCTTCTGTCTCGACGATAGAGTCAGGTAGAAGTTTTTTCACTGCTATTTGAGCGCTGAAAACTCCAAGCGGGTCGACCAACCATTGACAAATTTTCCATACCTTTTCAGAATTGTATTTCCTCATCGCTCGATTCCTGTCTTCGGGGCCATGTAAGAAGGCATCAGAAGTAAGTAAAATTCTTAATTTTGATCAGATATGACTCTTGTGACATCAGGTAATTATCTGACGTCTTTGTATTTGCAGGTGCTGCTTGGGGAGCTGAAAGAACACAAGGTTAGTAATCGACAGTCCATGTGAAGAACTTCTCTTTCGAGTTTCGCGCTTTTCGTCCGATATTTGTGATTTTGTAGATTAATTTCATCAAATTCAGGGTGCCAGATGATGAATTTGATGAATGGGGAATCGTTTCTGTAAGAATGCCTGCCCCATGAAAAAAATCCAAATTCCCCAATTTTGCAGCTTTACCTAAAAGAAGAATCGACTGGGAAGCCAGAGAACACTACAGAAGTTATTCCAACTTGGTAAGTCACGGAAAAACTTGCTATTGGGTTGAAATAGACCAAACTTTTAGCAAATTATTAAAATGAACCTTAACATGACTAATTTGAGATCTTGACATATTTGGGTAGCATTTTGTACGAACTATAAGATATTGCAAACACATCTGCGTGACAATTCGTAGTTTTATTGTATTTTGTAAAAGAAAACTCAGAATTTGCTATGCACTTATAATATCAAATGTCCTTAGCCATGGAGAATGATGTCAGGGACCTGGCACAAAGCCAACCAATGGGATCACTCGCTTTTCAAAGCTGGGTCTATTATGCAAATATCAAGGCCATTACTGTTCTTGCGCGCTCTCATTGGTTGGATCAATGGTGAACTAGGTCATATTCTAAAAATAGACCCCTGTTAGGCTGTATCACATGGGTAATCACCAGTTCAAGAAAATCGTACTTACAAATTAATAATATATGCTTTATTGATTTATGAAGAATAACTATATAAGATTTAAATGTTGCTTAGTAATATTTTATTTATTGGTAATGATTCAGTCAGCATTTTCTTCAATGTGTCATTTTTCAAATTACTATAATCCAGTTTTAAATGGAAATTTTTTTCAATGAACATTGTTGTTATTTTGCTATTGCTTTATTTTGATCAATTAGCAGATTCATAATTATTTCATATACTTTGAAATGAATTGCTTTTTTCATGCCTGTTTATTTTGTGTTGTGAAAAAGACATTTGTAACAAGAATTATTTCATATTATTGAAAGAAAGGAAAGTAATGAGAATTCTTCGGGAGCAATTATTGAAAAGAAATATTAACAGAACAGGATGGTTGGATGTTTTATCATACATAGTTTTAGATTGGGTGCCTGATTATGAGTTGATAAATGATTGATTTCATGTTGTGTTACCTCTTATACCAGTCACATTATTTATAGAATACCCCTGGTTTATCGGGCCCAGATGTCACTATGTACATTGTTAATAGGTGCAATAGTTCAACAAGAACCTTTAATCCCAAATTTGGTGACATGTCCATTCTGAAATGAATAGTGGATTTCTGTAAAATGCATTTATAAATGAACACGAACTACATGTTTTGTACTGACAACTAAAGGTCTATTTTAGTCATGAAAACATGCTACACATGAGAATGAAAGTCAAATAAAAACAATTGACATAATTTTTCAGATTGATTTATTTCGTCACATATCATGTGGCCACCTGCTCAGTATATGTGAGAGGCTTGGGCCATTGTTGGATAAAGAAGTTCCACCAAGTATCACAGGAGTCCGCTCCCTACTTGGTGCAGGAAGTCTCTCACTTCTTCGAACTGTAGAAAGTGAGTCTCATTGTCTCAAACAAAACAAGATGATTGTTGTCACTGAAAGTACAAAAGTTAGGGGTCATGAATATATTTGAATAGATGTTTTGGTATTTAAGACAGAGTTTGTCTGAAAGTGTATATGCTGTATTTAAAATATCTCACGTTTCCTTACATTTTGATTTTGTATACAAATTTTGCAACAAACTGATACATGTTGTTATTCCAATTTCTTCATGAACAAAGTGTGGTGTCAGCTTAATTCATTGAGATACATACCATTAGCAGTCATGTAGGTACTTGAGGTAGGATTCTCAGGAAGTTTTAGTTATCTGTTGTAATCTGAACCATATGTTTGAATATGTGATTATTTGTTATTGTTTTTTTTCTATACTCAGTATGTAGAAATGCTCAACACCAATATTGGGCCTCATGTCAGCTGCAAATTACAGTAGAAATTGTCTGTTTGTATTGAAAAATATCCTGATTCCTTAGAATTAAAATGGTTTTTGAACATTTGTTCTGAATTTGGCAGCCACCTGAACTTAGTTTTGAATCTTTGATGGATCCCTAATTTCACACTGTAGCAAGAAAGTACTTACTAGTGTTGGGAATTGGTTGAAATCTCACAATTGATGATTGGTTCAATACCAACGACCAATCATTGAAAAAAATTGGTTCGCATCATTTTTTAGATTTTCCAAAAACATTTGGTTCTCTGATGTTTTTTTTGAAACTGCACAAATTACATTTGCAACTTTCACATCCAGTGTAAAATGATTCAGTTCCAGTGTAACATAAACTTTCCAGATTCTTCAAGAAAAATTTAGTCATGACTTTTCAGAAAGTGAAGTGAGTTTTGTTAGAAATAAACACGCTTTTCAGACAACGCCCCAGATATGTTCTATCATCGCTATAAATAAACTCTATTACAGCTGCTCTGAAAATCGCTTTGTATCCGATTATGAGAAATGTGATCGATTATGAATAAAGCAGCTACTGGCGACTAATTTTCGACATTTCAATCAATCGAAACACCACTAGGTGCTTACAATAATAGTAATGTACTGTTATTAGTTATTAGTGCTTAGGAAAAATCATAAAATGTTTGAATGTTTATTTCTTATTGATTATTGTACTGCTTTTCTATATCTACCAGATCTTCTAGACAGACAAAATGGGCATCATTCAGCTTGGTTGTTCTGCATCATGTAGAATCGGTACCGTTTGCACGAACATTGCACATTCACTTTTGGGTACAGACGTGACGGCCCGACGCGCGTACTAAATGAGACGTACCTGATTAAAAATCGATTTCTTAATGGATCATAGAATGAACCCAAGCTTTTGCAGCTGTATAAAGTGAAACAAGTGGTTCACATTGGATCTGCTGAAAAGCGACCAAGTCCGCAAGTGCCGCTCTTATTAAGATGTAGTTGTATAAAAGCCGCTAAGCTGAGTTATGGAGCTCGTAGGTAGTGGTGAGTGATAGCCGTCTGTGGTTTTTGAATTCTTCCTTCTTAGGTCCCATTTTACTCCAAGCGAAGTCTTGTTTATACAACGGTTAAGCACAGCATGGCCTTGCACTCTTTCTATCAGTGAGCGGTCATACGGAATGTGTTCCTTGCAGGTTCCATGGTATGAAAGGCAGAGTTGATCAACGCAGCTCCATGGATTCGATTTTCCCGGCCACCAATATAGCCGCAGGTCTCTTCATGACCGCGAAACCGGGACACTTCCTCAGCAGTGTATAAAACCTCCGATGACGGTGTACAGCCAATACTTCACCAGTGCATGATGAAGCAATTAATTCATCATCCTCATGAAATGGTCTGAAGAGTGTTAAGTTGGAACTTCATTGTCAGCAGTATTAAAACGTCGTGCCAGAAGACACGCTTGATAAAATTCTTACTGTCATTTCTAACAAACTCTAAGAAATTTCCTCCCTGATCACGCCGCAGATGAAATAAACAAGAAGGTGACTTTAGAAGTAGGTGCTTCATTGAAATTATGATTACCAGTACCCAAAACTACTGACATGATATCATGCCCAGTAGAGTAATATCAAGCATCTTCACAATCATCATGTATGTTTTGTAAAACTGGTAAGTCTCTCACCCATCAAAGTTACTAGCGGCAACCATGTACCTGTGACATCACTCGGAGATTGAACTGGGGCTCATTATAGATGTTGCTTAGAGTGTGCGCGGTCAGGGCTAATGCCCAGATGTGGGGATAAGCCGGGAGTGTTTGTTACTGCAGGGGTGCCGAAGGACCACTTCCAGAAAATCTGAGGCCTCTGCTGACGCTTCCATTTGCCGCTCTTGCGTCACGAGCAGAGATCAATCGGTCTTGCTGTCAACTTCAGAACATTACTACTCTATATGGTGGCAGTTGTGACAAGATAGTCGTGGTAGTCTATTTAATCCATACCAGTCATTGGTCTGCCAAGGCCACACTTTGCATGATCGCCATCCGTGCAGGTAACTATGGCTGTGATGTATACAGGATCTGCTGAGTTTATTACAACATTTACTGGTGGTTGGCATTCATTTTAAAAGCCACAAATTTTAACAAGCTGCTTTTCATATGTTGGAATATATCATCTTCATACCCAGGTTCCTCTTGTGAACAAATGCAAACACATTTAAACATATTTAAAAGAAACTACGAATTTATGTTAATCAGGGTGCGTTTGGAGTGTCTTGTGCAAGGTTAATATTCACAACACAGGAAATAGTAAACACCTTCAACAAATACGTATTATCTCAGTTCCGTCCCGGCTTCGGCGTGACATCGCTACCCTTGCCACAACAGGTGCTGATGGCTGTGTTTGTTTCTTGGCAGTGGAATGTAAACAACTCTTTAAGTTCATGGTTTCGAAAATGCCTGACTCAATACTGTGGTTTATTGAAATGTAAATAAATTAAAGAACTATATGTTTTAGATGGCTAGGGAAAATCGTGGTTGTTGTTGGTGTGGATTTCTGGTATAGTTTGATATAGATAATTGTTTAGAATATTATGAGTAATTCCAGATTCCTTTATTATTTTCTAGTTTTCATCACCAACTTTGAAGACCAGCGCTGTGGTGATGAAAACTGGAAAATAATATAAGGAAATTAGAATCCTTGCAGGTTCCTTTTATTTGTTTCTCTGAAGGATATAGCCATTTATAAAGCACTATCATCCGATATTGCGCTTCTCTCTAACCTTCGCTTGTTTTGTTAAAGGACATAAAACGAAATAACTGTTTCTTTAAGCAGAAAGTCTAGAATGCAGTAAATTTATGGTTTTAATGCAGTCCAAATTAACTGCAAAGAGAAACTGAGCTTAAGTGGGGTTGATAACTTCCTTGACGACTGATCGATTACCTCGGTAAAGTTATGTGATGCGGGCAGTTATAGGGGATGCGAATTACTCTGAGGGTATGTGATGTTTCTTGAAAGATAAGTATTTTCTGACACACATCCGGTGCTCTGGCCTGCAAACAACTTTTCAAAAGAGATCCTCCCGTGTACAAGCTACTTAAAATGTCTGGTTCTTTATATCTCCATTAGCCAAATCAGCGTATTTTCAATAAACATTCTTTACAAAACAAAAACTCGTTTTGCTTGCCTGGGCCAATTCCCTACAGGGCTCTTGGGGCCCAACAGCCAAGAGCAGGTAACTCTAAGTTTGAACCTCAGAAGGTTCATTTTTCAGGCAGTCATTCTTGTGATTAACATCGAGAGATGTATTCCGGCGAACGAAAACCCTTCGTTAAATCCAACAGTAAAAGTGGAAAAACTGTATGTATGGACATTCCTTTATCGACGGGCGGATAGGCTGTACGTAGTACGCCTTCTAATTCATCTCGGCGAATTCCGGTTTCTGGTGGAATTCCTTGCCACCCTGGAGTTCTCGGCCTTCGTACGGTATGACCGCCTCGCCCGTACCGTAATTCCCAGTAGTGTTAGTTTGTTATAGGCTTACCTTTGCCGGTTACAGGGTAAGGGTTTCTCTCTCCATTAGACGAACCATCCTGTTCGTTGTGACAGAATACCACCTCTGACTCCACAACCCGGAGCTCCCGTCTAGTACTTTAGGCGTCGCAAACCGCCGCTTGTCGAAGAGGTGACTAATGGATTGTAGTCAGTTTATTGACTGGCCGATTTTACATGTCATCGGTTCCACCGCGATCGATGCTCATGCTGTTGATCACCGATTGTTCCGGTCCAGACTTGATTATTTACAGACCGCCTAAACTAAACTCACCACTCACTCCTTATCTTTATATGTAACTGGCTGAGGATCTTGAAAAAGAATCGCATAAACCCGTAGAGGTTTCTGATTCTTTGAAAGAGTCCCTCCGCGTATATGGCATGCCCACCTCCCCATTAATATCTCTGTCTGCTTACTGCCTTCAGCATGAAAAGTGAGGTAACGACGCCTTCACGCTTACAGTTACCTGCTCTGTAATACAGCCCAAGGGTGGGTGGCCGTTGGCAAAAGTCAGTTTTTCTTTTGTTTTGCGTATTTTGGCGGAAGAATATAGTTAAACTGTCGAGGAATTAAAATTTGATATTTCAATGTTTATATACCTCAAGGAGGACTATTTCAAACAAACAGAAAGATTCACATATTTGGTACTGACTCTCTTTACAGCACTGCCCATCAAGTTTGTTGAGCCGCCTCAAAAAGTAGTTCGACGCTGCTCTCCAAATCTTCAGTCTTCGTGGCCTATTCCCGGGCTTTCACGGGGAACACAGTGGCGGCCATATCGGTTCACTTCTTTCTCGCAAAATCGGAATCCAGAGAAGATCTGTGAACTTGGAAGCCACAGCGCTGGTATGGATGAAGCCTTCCTAAAAGTACTTCTGTATATTGCCAGTTTATTGTGGCAAGCTACGAAGAGGTGACTATTCGGGACCGGTGGTCAGGCTTTGATTACACCGCATTGTGTCCCAAATGGATTTGATGCCATGCTGTTGATCACTGGATTGACTGGATCGACTGAAAGCTCTAGTTTTACTTCTTTAGCAATATTCCAGCAATGAGCCCACGCTGGGGACACCAGAAATGGCCATTTAACACATTGCGCTCCATGTGTAGAACCGAACTCCGGTCTTCGGCGCGATTTGTTTAAATGCTTTTAACCACTCAGGCTACCCCACGCCTCTTGATCACTGGATTGTCTGGTCCAGGACTTGATTATTTACAGATGCTTTCTGTAACAGAACAAATCCATGTGTGTTATTGTGGAAATACGGAACATCCTGGCACTTCTATACAGAATGCGCATTAAGTGTACCCATGCAAACTGTATTCTAAAGTTAGTAGAGTGAGCGAATCGGCCCCTACCACACCCAGCAATATCCGCAGCCATATGGGCGGGCGGTCTCAGAATAATCTGGGAGTCTGGAATTCAGATAATCCAGTAATCACCAGCATGAGCATCGATTCAAGCTGAATTGGGAACTGATGATATAGGTCAAATCCAAAGTCAGCAAGCCTGGACCACCAGATCCCGGTTAGTAGTCTCTTTACTTAATAAGCATGTGGGTTACTGAAGGCACATTCCTAACCTTGACCTTCATGGGTATATTCCCAACTAGATATTGGGGCTACCAGCATTTATTCTCTTCACTTATAAAGACTTATTGGTTAGTTACTTAAAAGACTCACTATAAATGTCACCAGAACAAGTTTTGTATTTTGTGTTATCCTCCTCCATCAGGATCGAAGTGGATAGCATCACCTACAGTAACCAGGGGATGAGGTTTGTCAGTGGCAGCAAGGATGGCACTGCCAGGATCGTATGCTATAAGAGACAGGAGTGGAAGGTTCTGGTGCTTAACATGGCTAAGTTAAAGATGCTAGAAGGTCAGTACCAATAATAATTACACAGATCTTTTTCATACAATACTTCCCATAGGGTATTTGTATTGTCCGGTGTTCGGGGTAAGATGTGGTGCCTCCTCGGGTGTCTCTGTACATTTTAAGACATAGTTGTATGTTGTATGGAAGCGTAGAAAGGTATTGTGTATCCTTGTATTCAGTGATGATGGAATCTGTAAGGTATTGTGTATCCTTGTATTCGGTGATGATGGAATCTGTAAGGTATTGTGTATCGCTGTATTCAGTGATGATGGAATCTGTGGGCGTATTGTGTATCCTTGTATTCAGTAGATGATGGAATCTGTAAGGTATTGTGTATCCTTCTATTCAGTGATGATTGTGGAATCAGAAATGTATTGTGTATCCTTGTATTCAGTGATGATGGAATATGTAAGGTATTGTGTATCCTTGTATTTGGTGATGATGGAATCAGAAAGGTATTGTGTATCCTTGTATTCAGTGATGATGGAATCTGTAAGGTATTGTGTATCCTTGTATTGGGTGATGATGGAGTCAGAAAGGTATTGTGTATCCTTGTATTCGGTGATGATGGAATCTGTAAGGTATTGTGTATCCTTGTATTCAGTGATGATGTAATCAGAAAGGTATTGTGTATCCTTGTAATCAGTGATGATGGAATCAGAAAGGTATTGTGTATCCTTGTATTCAGTGATGATGGAATCAGAAAGGTATTGTGTATCCTTGTATTCGGTGATGATGGAATCAGAAAGGTATTGTGTATCCTTGTATTCAGGGATGATGGAATCTGTAAGGTATTGTGTATCCTTGTATTCAGTGATGATGGAATCAGAAAGGTATTGTGTATCCGGAAGTATTCAGTAATGATGGTGGAACTCAGAAAGGTATTGTGTATCCTTGTATTCAGTGATGATGGTATCTGTAAGGTATTGTGTATCCTTGTATTCAGTGATGATTGTGGAATCAGAAAGGTATTGTGTATCCTTGTATTCAGTGATGATTGTGGGAATCAGAAAGGTATTGTGTATCCTTGTATTCAGTGATGATGGAATCTGTAAGGTATTGTGTATCCTTGTATTCAGTGTTGATGGAGTCAGAAAGGTATTGTGTATCCTTGTATTCAGTGATGATGGAATCTGTAAGGTATTGTGTATCCTTGTATTCAGTGTTGATGGAGTCAGAAAGGTATTGTGTACTTAAAATGAAGCATAATGTTTTGAAAACTCTATGATAGGTGATCATTTGCCATTTTAGAGAATGTATATGATGGTTTCCATTTAGACCTTTAATTATAGACATAGTAGCAGGTATTGATAGGCCCAGTATTCCAGTTTGGATTACAAAGTGTCACAGCATCCTGTGCTCTTTGCACTACAGCGGTGATAAATTATTTGTATGTCAGATATCAGTGACATAGTTACTAACTGGTCATCTTATCTAGATGGTCTGGATCATTGCTTATAACAGGAATCAGTGGATTTTGTGAATATTCACCTCTCTATGTTGCTTTATCTCACAGCAAATCTGCCCCCTGCCAGTGTAGATCCACCTCCAACTGACGAAGACAGTAAGAAGGACAAGCACCGTGTGACCATGGTGGCGGATGATGGACGTATGAGCATGTCAGACAGCTGTCAGTGATTATTCTCTAAAAGTGTGGGCCTCCCATACAGGCAGACTTGTACATGTCTTGAAGTGAGCGATCTCTTTACAGTAATAGCAAGTAGTAGTGTTGGATCCGTTGATTGAATAATGAGTCAGTTGATCATTGTAGAAACTCAAGAGATCATGGATGTTCCAAAGGATGAATCTATATGGAATGTTTTGTGAAACACAGTCTAACTGCAAGTAAATGGTCATAACTCTCATGAGGGATAACCTAGTGGTTTAAACTGTTCGCTTTGTCACCTCAAGAACTGGGTTCGATTCCCACATGGGCACAATGTGTGAAGCCCATTTCTGGTGTTCCAAGTCGCGATATTGTTGAATATTGCTAAAAGCGGCGTTTTAAAACTAAACTCACTCACAAACAAAAGTACCAGTTATAAATGCAACCTAAAAAATCAAAACATAATTAAAACACAGTTATCACTTATTCATGACATATTATATACATTGCTGATTATGAAAACATATAAACAAAATTATAAGCATACAATCGCAAATCAAAAGTGCAAATTTTAACTTACCTTTACCTCATGGTAATGTGCATATTACCTTTGCTCATCTGATACAAAGATTGGAAACGGATCGATAAGCATCCTTGTTGAATGCTATCATGAAACTGGTGACGGTTTCTATCTCGTCCGAAAGCAGAAGCTACTTTAATCCCGCCACATGTGACAACGAGAACATGTCACTTTATCCTTTATCGCAAATCGAAGCTGGACGGTATATCGAGCATTTCTGTTTCTTTTCTTACTGTTTCTTTGTGATTTGCTACGTAAGGTTTTCCTATTGTATCCTCCTACCATGATATAACTAAAAGCTACTCACCGCTGGCTGCTTTTTTTTCTCACTGCACGGTCTTTGCTGTGTGTTGTTTTGCTTTGTTTTGCCTCGTGTTGTTTATCCAGCTTCGCCGCAGAATTAGGTCTCTTGGTCAGCCTCGGGTTGTTTTTTGTCCTTGCTTGACCATTGTATGTATCTTGTTCTCTTCTTTGTGTCATATTTGTGTGTTTTTCTTCAGAGGTTTTTCACAATGCAAGATTTTTAGAGCATGCCTCCTTGACCCAAACTGAGATTGCGCCCCATCTTTTTTCGCCTAACTTCGGCCACTTTGTCAGCCTAGCTACCAGGACTCACCAACCTTTACCAATCCAGGAGGACGTTGGTTTGTGGAGCCTTTTTTAGAGGGCGTAGGCAGGGGACGCCCCTAACGACTTCCAACGCCAGTCTCCGCCACAACTAAAAGGACTTGGGCAAGACAAGCAAACCCAAGTTCAAGCACCGCTGATGTTTATAAGTCACACTCCCCAGCCCCAGCCCATATCCAATATACCTGTAGGCATGGAGACTCGGGTCTTCTGACCCAACTGGACAATCCTAGGAGACCCCTTTGTCACTAATGTTCTCATGACAGGGCTACAAGTTGCCAGTAGCCATGTTGCCGCCTTTGACCACCTCGCCTCTGGTCTCACTTAATATTCCATCGCTCAACACCAGCACCTGTTGACTAACATTCAGGCGTTGTTTGACAAGAAGGCCATATAGAACAAGTACTAGAGCCCAGCAACTCTCCCATCTTCTTAGTACCCAAAAGAATTCTCAGAAGATGAGGATGATACACAATATGGCTGTGTTCAACAAACTTTACCTTCCGAGCGGAGCCACATTTTCGGATGGTATCTCTGATCCAGTTATTTAACCAAACTGTCCCCAAGGATTGGTTGGCCAGTCTGATCTTCAAGACGATACCTACATGTTCCTCTGCTACCACTTAAACCTCACCGAAGTTCCTGAGGTTCATTTTCGACGGTCACCATGCCGCTTTGGCATCTCTATGGCCCTGCGGGCTTTTCACTCAATTACAGCACCGATTTCCCGGCATCTTCATCTTCGGGATAGACGTACTTCTCTCAT